AGAATAAATTCAGTAAGTCAATAGCCACATCCGGTTCAACAGCTGCCTTGTTTCTTTTCAACATGTTTCTCACACACCTTGGTAAAATGGTCCTCAAAGGTGTTAAACCTTTGGGTGTGTGAGGGTGTTAAACCTTTGGGTGTGTGAGAACCATTTTGCCAAGCTGAAAAGAAACAAGGCAGCTGTTGAACCGTATTAGAGGCGTCTGTTCTGCTTTGTATAATATTTGATGGCTTTGGTTCCAGTCTATTTGAAGTCCTGAGGAAGTTAGACTGGAACCGCTTATTTACAGTCCGGAGGAGTGCGTTGACTGCTTCGTTCTTTCAACAGAAGAAAAATTAAAGAGATTTTGCTTATGAGAATCAACACCAGTTGGTGTATATATATGCTCACCGTGCCGTGGCTATGGGCTTACTGAATTTATTCTATATATATCAAATATAAAGAGCGTTATTGCTATTATTATATTATCGACTGGAGTGTTTCACACAGGGTTTGTTGTACTTTTGCCCACTTGAAGGTTGGCGAACCAAGCTGCTTCCTACTTCTCTGGAACATCAACCGAGCTGTGATCCTGGCAACTCACGACCTCCACTGCAGTTTTCCTTTTGGCTTGCCACTTTCACTGAATCCTGGCTATCTTGTGCCCATTCCTACAGACTATTCTTGCTTGGTTCACCAGCTCCATCTGCTTGGCAGATGCTATTTTGCCCCCTGGGGGCTCTGATTCTGCAAAGGTGTTTAGAGAGGCTTCAATAACACTTTTCCATCCTTCCCGTAACGTGAAGCGACCATAGAGAGAGGATTCTGATTAGAGCAGCCCTATATATATGCTGCTAACTAGGGATGAGCATGAATCGGGAAAATGGAGGTTCGTGACGTCACATGAGCCTGTTTGGACCTCCCCCGGTTTGTGAAATGGTTCAGGTTCGTGCAGCTTCCACATGGGGGTGGGGGAAGGCAAGTTGAAATGGCTTCCATCTATTAGATACAAGTCATTTCAGTGATACCTTCTGCTCCCCTCTGCAGAAGCCGTGGCAGCTCTCACAAGTGAACTCAGAAGACGTTTAAATGGCTTTAAAGGGTTCCCGATCGTTGTCTTGGGTGCCAGCATGTCTGGCCCATGGACCATTCCCACGAACCTCCACAAAAACCACGGTGGTTCACGGATGGTTCGCGAACCACGTGATAGCATGAACCGGGTTTGCAAACCAAGAAATGGGCCCCAGTTTGTGATGAATTTTGGTTCGTGCCCATCCTTACTGCTCACGATTCTCCTCTGGCTGCTTTGCTCTTATATTAGTAGTTTCCTAGTCTTCTACTATAATGGGCTTCAAAAACTTCCATTCACAAGTTTCCCTTCTCCGTTACTTTGGGAGGGAAGCCGAATGCAGAACAGAGGGAAAGTTAGGATTCTCTAACACTACTGGCTCCTGTCCTTGTAGAATTCTTATCTAGAAATTCTCTTTTCAAAATGCCAAGAGCCCTAGGAAAAAAAAAAATAATTTGACATAACAGTAGTGGGAATGCAGCCTGCTAATCAAAAGGATTCAAATCTTTCTATGTGCTGCCAAGCTCTCCTCTTCCCACTCGGCAGAGGGGGGTGGTGGTGCAGAAGAGACAAAAAGACACACAGAGAGAAAACCGAGGCCTGGAAGGGGCTCTCCGTCTTCTTCTTTTTTTTGGTAATCTTAACGAATGCAAAAGCTTCCACTCCACTGACTCCTCATTAACTTACCGAATCTGACAGGCTAATTATCGCAGCTGCTTTGCCGCTGCGAATAAATAAATATGAAAGTGGATGTTTAAAGAAAAAAAATGAGAAGGGGAAAACGCCGTCATCCAGACAGTCAATAGAAAGAGAGAGAGAGAGAGAGAGAGTTTGTTTAAAGATTTCATATCCATACACATTTAGAGCATTTTGGGGGAAGATCGTGAGATGGTTGTCTTTCAGCCTAATTGAGTCCCTCCATTTGAGGACGCCTGCCTTGTCACCAGCTTTAAACTGGATAACTTTTTGAGTTCCCCACGAAATCTGTTTGCTGCATCTCCATTTCAGGCTGCTCCACTGATGGGCAGATGGGGGGGGGGGCCCTTCTGCCTGGCAGCTGTGTGTCCCTAATAGCATCCCTGACCGCAAGAGACCCAATCAGTCCAATCTCGCAAGAAAGAAGACACATGAAATGCCAGTGTCCTTTGTATGGTCTTAGCTAGTGCAGAAGAGAGGCTCAAACCTTCAGGTCTGAAGTCGCAGAACAAAGTTTGAGACCAGTGGCCCCTTTAAGACCAACAGAGTTTTAGTCAAGGCTGTATCTGAAGAAGTATCTGAAGAAGTCTGTGTGTGCATGAAAGCTTATAACTTGAATAAAACTTTGTTGGTCTTAAAGGTGCCACTGGACTCGAACTTTGTTCTACCCAGAATTAAACTTTGTTGGTTTTAAAGGTGCCACTGGACTTGAACTTTGTTCTACCCAGAATTAAACTGTGTTGGTCTTAAAGGTGTCACTGGACTTGAATTCTGTTCTACCCAGAATTAAACTTTGTTGGACTCAAACTTTGTTCTGCTACTTCAGACCAACACGTGGTCTGTGAAAGCATCTATGAAAAATTTATTTATTAAACTAATTCATTTATACCCCTCCATTTTATCCTTACAACAACACTGTCAGGTAAGCTTAGGCTGAGAGAGTGTGACTGGCCCAAGGCCACCCGGAGAGCTTCCCTGGCATGAGTGGGGATTTGAACCTGGGTCTCCCAGATCCTAGTCCGACACTTTTAACCATAACAACACATTGGCTCTCCAGTCTTCTAAGTGGAAGGGGAAAAAACCATCAAGTCGCAGCGGACTTATGGTGGCCCCATGGAGTTTTCAAGGCAAGAGACGTCCAGAGGTGGTTTGCCATTTCCTGCCTCCATGCCATGACTGGTACTTCTTGTTGGTCTCCCTTCCAAATACTAGCCAGGGCTGACCCTGCTTAGGTTCTGCCTTGCTTTGTCTTAACCTGGGAGCTGCTGCCTCCTCTCTTTCTCCCTTTATCCTCTCACTCGCTTCACATGGCCTTCCATGGAGACAAATGTCTCTGCAGGTCTCTACCGTAGATACAATGCCCTCATATTCCCACACACGATGCCGGACAAGCTGGCCACTTTGTGATGGGGAAAGTACTCTTTAGATTAGGCTTCTTTCTCTCCTTTCGACAGCAACCTGAATGTGAACTGGATCCACTTGGATAAATGTTAAGTTTCCCTTTTTTGAAATATACTTCTTGGGAGATTTATCTACCGCACTCAGTATCACACTTCTATGACTGGGCAAAACTCTATTAACCAAACATTACTTTCCCGCTAAACATAAATAGATTCAAACTTCACATGTGAAAATGCCCAAAGATAACATTCACTTCCGCCAGAACCTTACAAACCAGAAGGCAGATCAAAGTAAAACTGAGGCTATGTGGAATTGTGTTATGGACCCCAAGAGAGGGACCTTGGGGCCATGCAAAAAATAAAAATTCTAAGCTTTCTCATTGGTCCAAGTGGTCATCAATTATCAGGCCAAGCAAGAAGGCAGACATCACCAATGTTATTATGCATGAGAGGCAGAAAAAGGCATGCATTTACACAATGACATGAAGAAATGCAAGTGAAGAGGTCAGAAAGGAATGTTTACTTTTTCTATGAAGAGCCTGTGGCACTTTACAGGAGACTGCCTCAGAGTCGGGCTAACGATGTAGCTTTTGGCCACTACACAGCATGAGAGCTTTCACATCATCCTGATCCTCTGAACTGGACTGGAGATACCAGGGATTGAACCTCGGACCTTCTGCAAGCCAAGCAAATCCTCTACCACAGC